TAATCCCAGTGGAATCTGTGCTCATGCACCCCTAGTTTCACAAGTTTTGTCATAAATTAATCCCTCAAACACAGTGTTGTAGAGGATGTTGTGCCAATAAATAAGGCATTTTGTAAGCCCCAAATTCATGGTGCTGGTGGAGGCTTTGCTGGCAGAGAATTAAATGCATTACCATTGTAGGTTTAAATTCTAGCAAGGATGAACTGTTGCCATCTCTAGAGTGGAAGGGATCCAATAAAGTTAATCTGACAGCAAATGGCTGGCTGGCCTCCTTGAGAGATAATATATCACAGACTCAGGACCAGGCTCTACTGTTGACAAGCTGGGCACTCAGAAAGGAGCAGTGTCTAGATCTGCATTAGGGAGAGGGAGCCTGGTCTGCTGTGCCCACGGCTCTTCCCAGCCATGTTGTCATATCTGTTCATGCTCCAATCGTCCAAACAGGGGACCTCTAAAGGTTAAGGATGCAGTATAGTTCACATTCACAGAGCAAACTAAGCTGTCCAGTTGATTGCTGAGAGTCTTCTATTCAGAGAGTGCTCTTTGGTGGGCACTAACACGAGATAATGGTCTGAATGCTATATATCTGCCCCTAGATATCCATCCACTTGCCTCTTTCCCCAGATTTCCTTGTCTCTGTTTTCTTTTTTTTTCTTGCTTTACCAAAGCCCCTGACAAAAAGTCATTTGTTACTTCCCAGTAGTCTATACGTATCCATAGTTCAGGCCACTTCTGCCTCCATATAATGTAATATATGAGTTGTTCTGTTTGGAGCTCTTCCCACTGGAAGGATCTCCCTTTAGGGATGCGTTCTTTAGGGCGAGCTCTGAGTGCAGCTGTAGTGTGACAACAGTTCATTTATGGCTGCCATCAATATGCCACCCTAACCCACATGTGAACCAGGCCAGCATTTTTTTTCCTCTTTAATCAGCACAGCTCTTTCTAGCTACCATCAGATCTGCTGGTTCACATGGCCTGATATTCCAAGAAACTTGCACAACTGCCTGGGCCTCCTGAAGACCTTTTTATTTATCTGGGCATCATTTAAGTCCAACAAGCATTTGGTAGTTTTCTCATAAGGCCCTTTGTAGAAGGGTAGGTAGAATGTTTATAATTATTCTTATGTCATTACAGAGTCCTTCCTCACGGGCACTCACCCTCCATTTTAGCCAATGGTACCCGGGTCTGTTCAAATTAAATAAATCCAGAAATTGGGTGCAGGCCCTGGGTTTTGCATTGTGACAGTTGATGTTAGGAATCTGCTCACCATGTATTTACTGGGGAAAAATCTGTGTATAAATAGACCTTCACAGTTCAACCCCTGTTGTTCAAGGGTTCAGAGTATTGACAAAAGACCACTGGAAGGATGAGAGAATGGAAGTTGGATAAGCAAGGGAGTGAAAACAAGCTTTGAATTCTGGTTCAGCCATGACTTCAAGCAAGTTACTTAATTTCTGTGCTTCACTTTATCTGTCTGTAAAATTGGGGGATAACAGAGACTTTATGCAGCTATTCACATGGATTTTTCTCACTGAAAGTGGCTGGTTTCTCTTCATCAACCTTTGCTGCCTCATCCTTTAGGTGCTTTAGGTCAAATTTAGCCTTTATTTCCTATAGGAAGCTTTCTCCATCCTCCCAGGGGTTGAAGTGGCCTCCAATGTCTTTCAGCCACATGTACCTCTCCTACAGTAGCTGTTGTCATACAGAATTGCAATTGTCAGATCACTTATCTATCTGCTCCACTAAGACCAAACACTCTACTGGGGCAGGGATTATGACTGTCCTAGCCCATTTAGCACATATTGG